ATAATACTGTATTCTATTATTACTTAATATGTTTAACTTTTATTTAACATTTTATAAACATGCTTACCATGTTCTGCAAATAATGCAAGGCTTGGAGCACACCGTGTAAGAAACTACTTCTGACTGGGAACAATGCACAACATGGGGTGGCAGTGGGGGGTGTGCGTAGAAAAATATGCAATTTTCATTCCACAAGCACATCACTGATGCACATTGTCTTTAATCTCATGAACTATAAAACAAGCTTTAGCCAAGTGAAGACTGTGGACACGTGGACAAAATATTAAGCCCAGTGCAGTTTTTTAGTCATTCAGAGCTGATCTAAGTTAGCTCACTGTCATTCCACTCACAAATTTCTAATCTGTCTCTATGTATAGCTTCTACAAACAAAAAAGCTAAAATTTATTAACAAATTTTGGAAAACTGCTACTGAATAATAAACAAAAATAAAAACCTAATTGCTGRGTTGCAGATGATGTAGTATTGATGTCATGAAATGCAGATGGGGGCAGGAAGTAAATGAAGCCATGTTTCCTTCTGTTGTAGAGTCAAAATGCCTAAATTCTGTGCCGTGTACAGTTGTTACAACCACTCTAATCAGGAGAAATGTCAACGTTTTTTTCATGTTCTGAAAGTAGTGTGTCACAAGGGAGTTAAATTTTAAAAACTTGCAGAAAAAATAGGACAAAAGTGGATCGACAATATATGGCTAAAAACAGGAGGTGCGGAAACGAACAATGCAACAGTTTGCAATGACCTCTTACAGATAAGGATTGTATTATTTAAATCATAGTCAGATATTTTCCTGGATACTTGAATTTGGGTTTCAGAAGCTAAATAAATTATTTGCAAGTAGATCTAAGCACATAGAAATAACAGGTGTAACTTGTTGTTGGCGTTAGCAATAGCATTGTTATCATAGGCTAACTACTTAAAATAGCACAACTCACTCAGGCAGAAACAAGTCAACAGACATTTAAAGTTCCTCTGGATACTAAATGTTTGACCCAACCTGAAACAAAATAATTGTAGCGCTGAGGCTTTTGAAAGCTTTCATCAGGCTCGTCGTAGCCTATAACATGTCTGCAGCACCAGATAGTAGTTTATGTTGATTGCCTCAACCACTAGCGGAACAAATCAGAGCCGGGCGGGGGGCGGGGCAAATGGCCGGGCCCTTTTTACCAAATAATAAAGCTCATGATAACATCATTTTATACAACATACACATGCCTGCAACAGCAGGGCTTACAAGTTTCAGCATCACAGAGCTACTATGTTATTTTGAAGTCCATTAAACGGACATGAAGTATAACAAACCAAGAAAACTATTAAAACATGCAGCTATAAAACAAATTCAAAACAGTTCAGCACCACGGATAGTGGTTGGGTCATTTTGACACCAGCTTTATCTATTTCAACTCAGAGCTGGTACTCAGTCAGTAGCTAAATTTCAGTAAAACAAGCACAGCGGTCCATGTTCTCAAACACAATTTCAAAAAGAAGTAGCTACTACTCACCACTATTGAAGAACATATGACGAGCCCTGCACTCCGAGAACTCGTCCGTGATGTTCTTTGATCTCTTATTCTGGACAACATGAGTCCTCTCAGTGTCTCCTGTCCCAGTGTGTCCTACTCAAGTGCAGCATGTCAAGTTGTAGCCTACTGACTGTCTGTAATTTTTTTCCTCATTTTGCAGGTATACTGAAGTTAACAGACCAATCTCTCCCATATATTTTTAAGTTTTATGGATTTTAAAAAATGATGCTTCAAACTTACACTCACCGGCCACTTTATTAGGTACACCACGCTAGTAACGGATTGGACCCCCTTTTGCCTTCAGAACTGCCTCAATTCTTTGTGGCATAGATTCAAC